CAAATCACACAAACACTAAGCACAGGTTTTAAATGAATCAATTTATTAAGGAACTTTTAATATCAGAAAAATAAAAATCTTGATTCTTTTTTTTACAGCAAATATATAATATCAGTGCTCTGGCCACAGGACAGCAAGGCCATTTATCATAAAATATATTTTAAACTTTAAGAATACAACTTATATTCCTTCATGTCCCTGCATAAATGTATATACATAATAAAAGAACAGTAAAACGATCAAATACAGAAACATAGTTGCAGTGTGATGGTAAAAAAATCCCGCCGACAAACATACAATTCCTAGTCATGTTTAAGATAGGACTTTAATTTTGTTCATAATGTGGTAGTATTCAGACCTAATGCAGTGTATATATATATACATATATATATATATATATATATATTTAATCCTTGGCTTTTTTTGTTGCGGTTTAGGAATAGATAATAAATCATGCAGGTGTGCTCTTTCCTGCTCTATAGTACCTAACATCAATACTCTACAAGCTAATACTTACGGCAACTGACTGCTCGCCAGATAGTCTTAATTTATATCTTAAGTGTTTGCAAAAAAAAAAGTTGTAAGTAGCCATGTCAGCCTACACTTGGAGAAGTTTATACCACATTATCGTCAACAAAATCGCTCCTCTTAGGTCCTCTCGGTACGACACCCTGTGATGGCCCGGCAGGACCCATTCATTGAAGGCAATGAGAGGAGTCGTTACCAACAAATACTAGGCCTATAATGCAACTTACGAAAAAGGGCCTCATGCATGAAACAACTGTTCGTATTTTTACGTGCATCGTCACTCTAGTTAAAGGGATAGTTGAAAAAATGAAAATGTGATGTTTATCTGCTTACCCCCAGGGCATCCAAGATGTAGGTGACTTTGTTTCTTCAGTAGAACACAAACGAAAATGTTTAACTCAAACCGTTGCAGTCTGTCAGTCATATAATGGAAGTGAACGGGAATCACGGCTTTGAGAGTCAAAAAAACATACACAAACAAAACCAAATTAAACCCTG